ATATTAAAACGGATAAAATACTATTATTGATGGAATATCAGATCTGAATTCAAGCACTAAAATCCTGAATTCAAAAGGGTTCTTCAGCTCAAATTAATCCTTCTTTCTCTTGCCAGATGATTTGTTTGTCGATTAAAATTAGTTCAAATTTTCAAATGTTTCAACTCCGGTGCTGAAACTCCCATTGTCACTTCTTACATCTATGTTTCTGTGTGCAAATATTCGTCCCTTTTTAGCGGAACGCCTCTTTGTTACGGCGGAATTTACGCTTAAGAAAAAAAGTATTGAGTATTGTGTACCTGCAATCATGCTCAGCTCTTTTTCATTTCATAATTTTTTTCACCATAATTTTTTTATCACAATTTTGCGCCGTAAAAGGCCGCAACTTCGCTCACTGATGGAATGACCATTCGAGTCGTTATGCGGCCGCTGTTATCGCTCATTGTCCTATTTTATTGCCCAATATGGTCGTCATTTCGTTGCACTTTGGTTCCACACTAGTAATTTATGTGGAAAAGTTTCCTATTAATATGTTCGCAGTGATAGTTGTCAGGAGCGACGTTGGCGCAGCTGTTTCGAGCTTCAGAGATGCTGCATGCGCTCTCTAACGGGATTTTGAACGCTTCGCTAAGTATTGATGAGGCATAATATTATTCAAATAGAATTTTCGGTCGTACAAGTTATAATAATAATATTTGCCAGGTAAATCTTGATCTCTATTAATTTCTTATGTTTAAATAAAAACAGTCCAGTATGTACTATATCAAAATTACTTTATAGCACCGATCGGTTCTACATGTCCAAAAGTCTATTCTCTTATATAGCGCCATCACTGCTTCATTAAAACCATAATTTTAAAACAGTGAAATGATCTGATGCTCCGAGCCATGCATCGATCAGACACATCACTAATTCAATAAATCGTCAGTTTAAATTACCTTTTGCGGACAATCCAGCATCAAAATTGCTTTGCTGATTAAAATTCAAAATTGCTTCGTCGCAATGATTAACCCCTTGAACAGATCGCAACTATGTGTCAAACGCTAGATAATTTTATATTGTGCATCCGTTAACTCCCAGTGAGCTTGTAATAACATTTTTCTCTTTGCTATTGCGAATGATGGCACTTCAAAACGTTAGACTCATTCAAATCTCATATGACTTGAAATTGAGAGATTTCCGATCGATGTGCTTCGGTCTTTTTTTCATTTCAGTAATCAAATCGGATTAGCCGTGCTCTAAAAATCAATTTGCTTGTCCATGCTGTTTTTATTAGACATAAGTTTCTCTACTGCATAAATGTTTTATTATACTTCGTTTCCTAAATTTTATTCCGTTTTATGTATATCAACGGTGAAGAAACCATTCGCGGAAGTAGTGAGGCAAGGGAAACCTACTCAGCTCTTGAGCATTGATCACTTTGAGCCAGGAGGTATTTGAGTTCACTTGATTCTCAACGTAAAGTAACGTCAACTCCGCTTACATGGTCACAAATATGTGCATTAGAACCCTAATTTTCCTCGGACTTCATTTTCGAGGGAAATTAACTATCTAGTGGCTCGAGTTTAATGCGCTATCATTGTTTGAAAAGATATCCCTGAGAAACTTCACAATTGAGATTACTACTACGACATTTGATACGAGGTGTTTTTTTAAGTGTTCGCTTTGCATGCGAAAAGCCCCGGGTTCGATCCCCGGCACCTCCAGTTCTTTTGTTATATTAACATGTTCTGCATGGATTTTTAGCAACCGCAAATGAATGACATAATAGGGAATAATTTTAAGTTATTCGTAGTTGTGAGTGGCTTGGCTTTGCTTGAGTGGCTTGGCTTTGCTTGTGTGGCTTGGTTTTGCGTGAGTGGCTTGGCTTTGCTTGAGTGGCTTGGCTTTGCTTGGACGACGTTGCGCTCTCGTGTAAATCGTGTTCAGTCAATGCGATGAACTCCGGCGATGCATTCAGGGACGCTGACATCCTCTCATTTCGAGAGCATTTGGTTTCTGTAGCATTATTGGCTTCCGTTAGTGGAGCGTGTATGAGGTCATCCCTATGGTAGTTAATTATTCTAAATAATTAGAATTTTTAATATAGTTAGCAATTTTTGGTGAGTTACAATAATTAATTTATATTCACTGGATAGTTAACTGATGCATTAGATCACGAAGAACACAAATAAAGAGTCAATTCAAGAAGTTTCGTGCTCATTTCTCCCACCTAACCCTACTGATTTCCAAAATAGTGCGTGTAAATTTCTCCAATACATTTCGAACGGTCCAACTGAGAGTATTTTGGATCTGTATTCTCGGGGTGATGACGCAGACCTGTTAGTGTCCGTGTAGTGGCAACACAAACCTGCAGCGGGCGCTTGCCGCTTGAGTTTTTGTTGTGGTGTCGGTGCGGAGGTCAGCACAAAAATACGGACGGATAATTCCGCTAATGCAAACTCTTTCTCCCTAATGCGGCGATGAACTTGCGGATCATTATTTTGTTAATTCATTCCGGCTTGAGCAAGTGGTGCGCCGGTTATAATTTTCTTCTAATCTATCTAAATCTAATGCACGAGTACTTTCATTGTCTGTTTTGCGTTCCTTCCTGGCATTTACGGTTCTCTGTTCCGAAATATGCTTGGCTGTACCTACCCTTAGCCCTTGAGTTCTCAGCCGTCAGGCCTGTGGTGACCAGTGCCTAAGAAAAATGACAAAGAAAGGCCACTTAGTTTTGTATTATTTCCTCACGTTGCCATATCATCAGAAGTTATTCTCTAGCACCGAGGCCCGGTTCTCCTTCCTGCGAAGGAGAACCGTGTTCCTGATGCGCCACGTGTGCATTAAACCGCTAAGCTAGGGCGTCATAATTTTTTATCACTATACCTGCGTGAATTTGAAACCAACATATAATCAATGTATTTTATTCATAGTGTATCCCAATCTATGTAAATCAGACCAAATGAATCTATAAGGGATTTTTCTTTTAGATAAACAATGAAGGAGGGAATTATATTTTTAATGACGAAAGCTCTACTTTCTTGGGTATAATTTGCACGTTTTTTGACATCAATTTTGTCATGTCACACATGTCATATCACACATGTATGTCACACATGTCATATCACACATGTATGTCACACACATGTAATATCACACATGTCATGTCACACATGTCATGTCACACATGCCACGTCACACATGTCATATCACACATGCCACGTCACACATGTCATGTCAGACATGCCATGTCACACATGTCATGTCACACATGTATGTCACACACATGTAATATCACACATGTCATGTCACACATGTCATGTCACACATGCCATGTCACACATGTCATATCACACATGTCATGTCACACATGTCATGTCACACATGCCATGTCTCACATGTCATGTCACACATGTCATATCACACATGCCATGTCACACATGTCATGTCACACATGTCATATCACACATGTCATGTCACACATGTCATGTCACACATGCCATGTCACACATGCCATGTCACACATGCCATGTCTCACATGTCATGTCACACATGTCATATCACACATGCCATGTCTCACATGTCATGTCACACATGTCATATCACACATGCCATGTCACACATGTCATGTCAGACATGCCATGTCACACATGTCATGTCAGACATGCCATGTCACACATGCCATTCTATTGCACAAATTCGATTGATTGCCGATGAATGCATTAAGATTGATTGATGCTAAGACAATTATTCAAATCATTGTCTTAGTGGTTTTGCAGTGTGTCGAGCAATGCTTTTTGCTGTTGTTGGATGACTGGAAAACAGGTTAAAACAAATTTTTTCAAATCATTTTAATGACGCACCTAACCACATTAACTTTCGAGTTACACTAGAGTTTAAATATATTTCGATCGAAATTACTAAACGAAATTAATAAATTGAATTCTAACCAGAAATTAAAATTCGGAANGATTGGGATAGGAACAGAATATTTTATTTTTATTCATTATTCCACTTCTACGCCGTCTTCTCTTGATCTTCTTCGTTAAATAATATGAGATGTAATCCAGTTGCACTTTAACTTAGCAAGATCTAAAGTGCAATCCAACAGTTCGGTTGAGAACGCAATTAGGTTCAAACATTCAGCGGACGAATTGAACGGGACGAACGTTTACGCGGCAGAGCTGCACAACGAGTGAAATCGAGTGATTTTTTTACTCGAAGAAAATTTTGTTGCCAGAAAATTCAATTTGATGCCACGGCAATAAATTTCCTTATATTTTCGGCAATAAATTTCCTGTATATATTCGTTCAACGAGTTTCCAGGTAAATGATTTCTAATTTTAATAGCTCGACATGAACCGAAATATTGCTACGTTTCTTTAATACGGAATTATTTTAATCTAGAGTTTCTCCAAGTCCGGCCGACCATCAAATTTCCGGAAGCCACGAGCTAACTGAAACTGCCAGCGATTTTCAACAGTGAAATATTTTCATATATAAATAATAAAAGTATTATAACACTTTTTGTCTTCGTTTACTGTCTTGCATTCTAGTAAGTGATTTTTATTTGATTAATTTAAGAACACGTTGCATATGGTACCATAAAAATTATTCCACTCTCACAAAATTCAATTTTCTTGAATTTTACCAGTTTCCGGCACCTCAGAATCGATTGCATCCGGGCTTGAAAATGTATATCCTTTTCCGGTCCTCTTGGGTTTTATTTAAGTATTGGCGTTTGTCATTCACTTTTCCTTCATTTTAATTCAAAAACTTTTAAACGATGACCTTCAGAACTGCGTATCTCATTTGGACCCCCTTGGATCCCATTGTCAAGCCAAGCATTAGTAGAATAAAAATTTTCGACGTTCCTTCTTCATATAAAACTTGGAAATATCCCCATTGGTCTCGTCCCGGTTAATAACATGAAGGCAGTAGGTTGACTCAGGGTGATATGCCCATTGTCGCGCCATTGCTGTTGTCGTAATTAAGATGTGGCTTATTTCTATGTGCAGAATCTGAAGTGCGATATTCACTGCTGGACTGGAAGCAGCGCTACTGGTTCACGGTTCAGCCGCACACCGGCGTCGTGGCGCTAGTGGCGCCTCTCGATAGAGAAACTATAGCACACGTGAGTCCGTTACGTTACGAAAAAAATATGTTTTGCGTATTGGGAGCGAAGTGCGACTGCTGTGCACGGGTAATAATAAAGTCTGTACAGTGTACAGTATTGCGGTAGCGATTTATGAACAGTTCAGTGTGCTCTATTTCTATACTCTACTAATTAAAAAAATTATTAATATTAACGACCTGCCTTCGTCGTGATGAAATCGGTTCATTGAGTGAGAGTGATTCTCAAACTTTTCATTTGGCTCACTTGCTTTCGTTGTCCCTTATAGAATATAAAAAAATTCTTTTAAGATTTCTCCCTCGTCCCACATTGCATCTCTTCTTTTCCCACTAGTAGGTGCGACCCAACCATTTGGAAGCATTGATTTATTATAAATATTCTTCTTGCATGTGTCCAGTAACAATTGAATTATGGATCACCGATGAACGACCGGTGGCTTCCTAATGCGTATCTGTACGAAGCTCAAAACTCCTGCCTTTGTCTGCCGCTTGTCGTTAAACATGCATTATTCTGATCCCAAGATTCGCTTTTGACCGCACTACGCAATTAGGTGTTGATGTGTGGTGTGAGAGAGACTTGCATGGGTATTATTAAATCAACTGAGGATTGTTTAGGTCAATAACCAATTCATTTGGCCAAGAGGTGCAATCTTGCACCTAAAGTAACAGGCGGCACTTTGGCACCATTCATTGCTAAACGCATTCACTGAGCATTGGTCTTGAGTAGTAAATTATTTTAATAGAAGAGTGTTATCAGCGGCCTATTGCGTTCCATTCAGAGACTGGTGATTAGTTGCCATACTCTGTGGTCGTCAGTTGAATATCTAGGAAGAATTTCAGGCTGCTGACCATTGAACTCTCAGTGGTGATGGATGATTCGATGAAGATTTGTCTCCCGAGTTTATTGTTGCCACATAATAATTTTCGGACTTCAGATGGGCGATGATCTGGAAAAGGTTACTCTGTGTTTGGGCTCACTTAACTAAAGTTGGTTACATACTTTATTCCTTACTAAACTCCGATTTTGATGATTAGTGTTATCCCATGCAGTTTATAAATTGTTCTGTGATACAATTTTATTTGTACCTAATTTAACCAGCCTATATATTAACTTTATTAATCGAATTTTCCCCAACTCCACCGTGTGATATTTGACAATGGGAATCTTTTTTATGTTGCCTGAAATCACTAATTTCCTAATAATAATTTATTAGGAAATTATAATAATTTATAAATTATTAATAAATTAATAATTTATTATCCCAAAGAAGTTATGTTCATTACTATATTGCAGTGACTCCTTAGGATCTGCAATATGCAGAGAATTTTAGCATTGATTGTATGAAAGTTATTATTTCGCTCAAAAATATAGCAGCGATTGCATGGATAAAATTAATGCATACGCGGCTGCAACACTTGGTTCTGTGATGGCACGTCTCTATGGCTCAATAATGTTCTTGTAAGTTCAGGCGACGCCGTGATTGAGATTTTTACTTTTAAATTTGTACGTGAAAAATTTTTGAAAGTCTTGAAGTTTTTAGGTTTAATAGTGATTTATATGTATTCTGGCGAACCTGAAATTTTCTAAAATCAAAATTTTTTATTTAGCATGCACACTTCCTTTCTTCTTAGTTCGCCATATTGCCCAGGCTCAATTCCTCCTACAGTCCAGAGTGAGCCTGGAACAGTCGTCCATCTTTGTAGGTCGTGGGACAGCAACTCTGTTGGCTGTCCGCCGTCCGCCATAGCGCGAGACTCTGTTGGCTGTCCGCCGTCCGCCATAGCGCGGCTCTGTTGGCTGTCCGCTGTCCGCCATAGGACGACATCATCAACATTTTTTTTAAACATTTTTCGATTGTAGTACACAATATCATACTTGTTATCATACAAAGCTCTGATTAATCTTGCAATATAGCATGACACCAAATATGCCATGTTTATTTCTTTGATGTTAATCCTAGGCCGATAGTCGATTGCCTCCTATTCTCCAAGCTAATCCTTCCAGCTGCAAACTTTAATCTTGTTAGTGAATCAAACTTGAAATTATTTGATTTGCGTTCTAGACATGTGGGATGTGAAGAATTGCTAGCATGGTCATTTAATTAACCCAGTTTCTGAGTGAATCTCAATACTTTTTATAATTTCATCATAACGCTTTTGTTCTTCGTAATTTCTGACACGTGTTCTACAAACAAGTTTAATGTGACCTGCAAATGATATTCCATCGAATACAATATCCTGGTCGTGATATATGACGCGCTTTATCGGTGACAGGCACGAGGTCGTCCTCGGGAGCTGATCCAATGTGTCCACAATTGAATGCGATTAGTAATGGCATAAAAGAAATGCAGAACTCATTTTTTTCTTAACACGTTGACTCCGAAGTGGTACATATGCGTTCCACGAAATGTATTTCTCCAGGATGTAGTGGTACATAATTCAGGTTGCCTAAAATCGGCCAAATCCGAGAACAAAAAAGGCCGATAACTCAATATATACTAGTTTATTTGTAGGTTCCGAAATAAAAATTCCATTTATTTATTTTTTTTTTGCAGTATTTAAAATTCAATTAGGTAGTACCCTTATCATAAATTTTAGCCGGCCAACGCAATTGAAAAAAACTAAATCACGGAATTTGTCTAGTCAAGCGTCTAGGGCGAATACTTATCCAGTACTTCCTGTATTCATCCAGAATAGATGAATATCCAGTACTTCCTGTTCTGGGCCTATACTTTCAAAAAAAGTTAAGAGATCGTAAGTTCATCAGCCAATCATTGACGGTCTTTCAAGCAAAATCCACCAATCATAGACAAGAAAACAGAGCGTAAGTACTTACGTTAACTTAGCGAGTTTTGAAAGTATGGCCCCTGTTTAGGCCGGAATGACTCACCCACACCAAACCCTTGGTCTAATGACGGCAACACTTGTTACCAAACGTTTAGGTTCGTACAGAATAGTTGATGTATCGCTGTATAAGGTAGCAGTTTTTTCTTCACACAATACCTAACCGTGGTGCAGTGGTAAGTGCACCTCCAAAAAATCCTATCGGCTGTTTCGAATTCTGCAAATATTTATACACGAGATCTTTAAAGAAAATTGTTTTCTCAGATCAATACTGTTATCCTAATTAAACCATTGCTTGAATATTTATCAATTATTTCAACTTTCACATTCAAGATCAACTTGGAGACTCAGCTACTTCCTTTCCAACCGCCACATAATTTTGATACAATGCGTATCATGTTTCAAAACTTTATCCTCCGAGTATCAAAGCTTTCTAACTATTCACTGGCATAATCCAGTCTAGATTGGACAAAATTCCGTGACCAATGACTTTGTCGGCGCAATTAATCGGTAGACAATTGCCCTCCAGACGAGCTTTTCTGCCTCGCAAATGCAGGATCACTCATTGGTAATAACGCCGTGAGTCAGCGCTTTCTTGCTCGTCTATTCCCTGATTTTTGGTCTCCAACTTTCGAAGTGGTCGGTTTTTCCGGAAAGAATAAAACTAAATTTTTCGAGCCGCTTGGAAACCGCCCGTCTGCTGTACAAATGGCTCCATTTTGTCCAAAATTCGACAGCTCCAGTTAAGAAGATATCTTGTCTCTTGAATTGAAGTGCTGATTGTCCCTTTTACACTGAAAACAATTCTAGTACAATCTTTGTGAAAGTTGACGCCCGATTAATGCAGGAGATTAGTGACCGTGGCTGTACTCCTGCCAAATCCTTCCATATCGCTGCAAATAATTGCTTTCCTATACAATCGTGCGTCCACTGGATGATGGGATGTCATTTGGGCTTAAAATCTTGCAAGTTACTTCCTTTTTGCACTTGTGGTTTCATCCAATATTTATATAATAATATAATCTAATTCATTAATCAGGTGTAATTATTTGTGCGAGTATTTTATTTTCGTCGGTGATGTTGGTCAACATTTTGTGCTTTGTATCATCACTGCGTCATTATTTGCCCCTGGCTCCCTCGCAACGCATTATTCCGAGCGACGGGTAAGGAACGCGGAATTAATTGGTGGTCTTTGAAGAGCTCACACCACCTGTCCTATTGTGAACACTTGCCTTTGCCACGATGTAGCTCCACCATCTGGTCAATTGTGAACACTTGCCTTTGCCACGATTAGCTCCACCATCTGGTCAATTGTGAATGCTTGTCGTTGCCAGGCTTTATTATATTTATTTAAGGGTCGCAACATATTTTTGAAACTATTCGAGTGCTTATTTTGTGGACATCCTCCGTAGTTCCAATGCTTTCTTTCGTTCTCCCTAAATTCTTAAATATTCAATACCTCAGCTAGTGTGTCCGTATTTTCGTTCCACAGCGTCTGTCATTTTATCGCTTCAATAATTTTTTGGTTCTTCATAATTTTCACTGATTTCTAGCTCACTTAATTTGGCCCGTACCCATTCTTGGGCAACAATTTCTAGCCGTTGGAATGCAACATCTAGTCTTGGAATGCAACAATTTCTAGCCGTTTCGATATTGTTTCAAGCAACAATTTCTAACTGTTTTCTTCACTCAATAATTTCTCGACTCGTCCCCTCAATTGGTATATACTCTGAATGCTAAAATAGTCTCAGTTTTTTTTTGAGGGGGGGGGGGCTTGCAGGAACTTTTTCTTATTTCTCTCCCTCAAATTACTCAAGAGGCTAAAAATCTTGCCAAACTTTACAGATCCCCTGAGAAACAGGTCCTGTTCTATCAATAATCAATATTTAGATATCTTAATTACCGTATTAATGTCGCCAGTAACGCATCCTCTATTGTTATTGACGTCACAGCTGACGGTACCGCTGGAGGCGCGTACGTCTCAGGGCAGTGCAGAAGCGACGTTGTACGTCACCGTAGAAGACGTCAACGAGTTTCCGCCGCGTTTTGCCAACGACTTTTACCAGACGCAGATTACTGAGGAAGACGACAGACACCTGCCCAAGCCGGTCATACAGGTGCGTGGTGCTTTAACATGCACAAATTGCACATTATGTCCTCATTTTGATGCCAGTATCATGGTACTATAGCAGTCGTTCTTAGTTGACGTAGAGTTCACGGTTTGAGGTTTAGGATATACCACGACATCGACAACAAAATTGTTTATGGACTCAGAACAGGTACCTGGAATTAAAATAGTGTGTTTAGAATGTGCCGTATAAATTTACATGTAGAAGCATAAGATATAAGGAGACCCGTACTTATATAGAACTTGAGACAAATTATGACCGATTGTTGAAGCACCGAGATATGGGCTTTGTTGCTCCAGGAAACAGGTAACGGAAGATTGCCTGCATGTAGCATGGCCACAGAAATATTTGGCTATAGGGTTTACTACAGACTGGAGTCTTGGCACAAGGTAAAACAGAAAGATTGTTTGAAGGAGCAACGGATGAATGAGATGTCTGTGGTCTGGAGTGAGATGTTCACGAGCTACCAGAGGGGCTGGCCTCCTTATTGATCGTTTCCGTAATATTATTTTTGAGCGATACTTAGCCCGTAACTTAAAATTTAAATTGACTTGAAATAACAAAGCTAAACCACTTAAAGTCCCCCAGGTAAACAAAAAAATTTAAATTAGCCATGAAAGATATCAGAACTTGCCCACGTGGAGATTTTCCAACAGCTGCTTCCAAGCAGCGCGGCTCTGATTTATAATGGTGAGTTGACTGCATCAATAAGTCGCGTCAAGAAGTCAGGTCAAGAAGTCAGGTCAGAAGTGAGGTCAAGAAGTACTTCAAGAAGTCAGGTCAAGAAGTGCTTCAAGAAGTCAGGTCAAGAAGTGCTTCAAGAAGTCAGGTCAAGAAGTGCTTCAAGAAGTTAAGTCAAGAAGTGCTTCAAGAAGTCAGGTCAAGAAGTGCTTCAAGAAGTCAGGTCAAGAAGTGCTTCAAGAAGTCAGGTCAAGAAGTGTTTCAAGAAATGTCAGGTTGGGAAATATTTCCCAACATGTTCTCACTGTTCCAAGTCCTGATATATTTTTCAACATGCATCACAGATTCATAATCTTTTTAAAATAAGACGCGACGACGATGGCGATTTAGAGGAGCTGTTCATTATTTGCATCCTGTGCTAATGAGGAATCCAAGGACTAGACAGAATATATACTCTAACAATTTTTTATGTGTAATTCATGTAATGTTTATAAATTAGTGGCATTTCCCGTATATTTTGTTGCTGCAGAAGAGTGCTGGTGAAGCTCAAGTTGGAGAGAATGCAACGTAGAGCTGACAAACGTACCATTTATTTCGGCGTGAATTTTTTTCAAGCAGAATTCAAAACCATGTTTCGCCGGTACTGGCTCACTGATGTTCGCCAGGATGTTTGGCCAAACTTCGAGAAATATATCTAAGGAGCTCAATATATTTCTATGGCATGCTCAAGATATTTCTGTAAGGAACCCCCAACATTTTTATGATTGTTCAATATACATTTGTGAGGTTCTGCAGGTGCAGGTGTTGTTGTTTTGGGCCGAGGAAAAGTTATTGAACATATCGCGCGACGGTTAACGCCGAGCGCGAGCATACGATGCCTTGTGTATTGTGTCGTAATTTGTGGCGCAGACGGCGATGAGCCTGAAAAACAAGCCGCACGAGACGCTCCTGGAATGCGTGGAAATGGAAGAATCGAAATCGAGGCTTGTTGGCAGGGGCTCCGAGAAATCGAGTTCTGGCTTTTGGTGATGAAACATTGCGGATTAACGGAAGATAACGTACGCGTGTTGGCATAGGAACGAGTACCAAGAATTGCGACTACGTTATTTTAAGGAAACAATTTTTGCTTCTTACCGTATAAAAGTTCCAGATTCATGATTTTTTGTATAAATTTTGGGGCGCAAAATATTTTCTAGAGCTCAAGTGCAAATTAATACATTTTACTCTTGAAACAGAAACGATAATGCTTCCAATTAACTTCTGAATGCTCTACCTTCTTCTCGTTTGACAACCATCACAGTTCAGTTCATTTCAAATTTGCTTCTGGAGCGTTCTTGCAGGACTATTAAAACGCCAGCGACTTGTCATTTGAATTCAGTATGAGTCCAAGGTAAAAGCAGTGCTTGGAGTTATACGTTTCCTCTTTCTATGCGTTCTTTGCAAGAATTCGTCAGCAACATGGACGGCATATCTCGGGCTATACATGGCGGCTGATAGGCCGAATGATTCAAATCTGGTGCAATTTGGTAGCAATGATAGAATTCCCGATATTCCTCACCCGAATCCGTTGCTCGGGTTGTGGCTTTCATGGCGGTTTCAATGCTACTCGAATCCCTGATCTGAGTTTTGATGAAGAAGAGACTTCCTGTCGCGAGTTTTCTTTGCCTCGCATTCATAACAAATTTTTCAACTGAAATCTAGCTGGCGAGGGCTTACCAAGATATTCTTCAGCAGGAATTGGACTGGCGCCAATAATTTTTCGAAAGTCTTGAGGGAAACGAATTGCTAGGAATTTTTATTTTCGTTTGTAACCTTGTACACGTTTTTATTTAATTTGGTATTATGTTTAGAAACGATGTTTTCCAGGTGGTTGCTCGGGATCGTGATGGGGGTAGATGGGGAGTGCTGCGCTATTCCCTCAGCGGAGACGGAATCCCCCATACCCAGGACCCCCACTCACAGGATTCTACTCCCAACACCCACAACGAAGCTACAAGACATCAAGATTCGTCTCAATCAAGATCATCGCCGTTGCTGAGCGAAACCCACCTGTCGCACGTGACTCCCATATCAAAATCGTCGTCGCGACCATTGGAGTCTTCGTCGCTTGTGAGTGACGTCATCCCCGGTCTTGCGGGTCCGGCACTTCGGGTATCTTCTCCAGGGGCGCCACCTCCCGCGGTCGCGCCGCCCTCGGTCTCCAAGAGCCAATACTGGACGCGTCGCCGCGCTGCCTTCTCTGTTGATCCAGAGTCCGGCACCATCTACGTGCTCAAGGTAAGTATAACCGCAAACCGGCAAACTGCTAAATACCTCCGATACGTTTCTTGCCCGTTTTGTGGGTTGTTGGTGTGTGTGTGGTTGGTATTCACGTGCACACTGTGGCATGGTGAATTTGGAGGACCTTTTACCAGTATTTTGGAGTTATGGAATATTTGGTGTTGTATAGACATGGCGTCATGGAAACGTGAGCTGATTAAAGAGTTGGAGGTAATATGTTTTGATGGTGGGTCCTGTTCATGCCAGTTGGTAGAGGACCAAATATGACTCCAGAGGAATTTCAAAGAGGTCTTCATATTTGAGGTCCAAAATAGTTTGATGGGATCTGATCGTCGAGTCCGAGTGAAGAGATAAATTGATTCTTTGTATTGTTCGTCTATGATTTCCCTTTTTCTGGGATCGCGGTCTTCATTCTTGGTTATGGCTATCGGAGGTGAAGAGTCATTTTACCGGTTGTCGTCGTATGTTGACTGATGCGAAGTCGAGATATGTTTGACTGGTTGTGTGCTTGGTTGTTCCTTCATTTGATTGTTGTTTGTTTTTGGATTTTTTTTGCAGTAAGGACAGTCTGCGGGTAAAGTGCTGCGGTCTTTGCAGCAGTTGAGGCATTTTATGTTGGTGTTACTGCATTGAGCGTAAGTGTGGTCTTTGGCGGCACATTCGGAGTAAGAGGAAGTGGCGGATGCACGCCTTGATGTGTGGGGCTGTGTTACACTTCCTAACATTTATAACAGATAAGTAGGTGCTTAATCAATAAGTAGGTTTAATTGTTGTGTCTGTGGTTACGATTTTGATAAAATGGGTGTAGTGTTTGATTGAATAATTCATGGTTTGATCGTAATCAAACAATGTATCATTGTTGATTTTATGTTGAATTGTAAAAATTAATATTGATTTTTTGTATTATTCAAATCAAACACTACACCCTCGTCATCAAAATCGTAACCACAGACACAACTATAGCCTTTATGTTGAGTCGTAATTTCATGTTAGAGTTCGTCGGCGATGTGGCTTCCTGCGTCGTTGCCAAGCTGTCTAACAAGAATGGTTCGTGTAACTCCTAGGTCGGATGGTATCATGAGAGTTGAGTAAATTGTATTGAATGTATCTGTCGCTTTCTTGGAAGTCAGCTTGTCTATAGCAGTCGCGTTAGCGCGTAAAATTTTAGAGCAGTGCCTGTGAGTCGAATCAGTGGAGGCGAGAATACAGATAGGTACATGATTTGAGGGCAGTCTTACAATGTTAGTGACACAGGCACTGACATGAATTAGGCACACTTTCCTATAGCGACGCGCTCTTGCTTATGAAAGGCTAGTAATCCGGAAGCTTGAGTACAGGAATAGAACCTCGTACAGCCGCGAGGGCCGACGGTCCTGCACTGGCAGTGCCACAAACTTCATTATGGAACAAATTGATCGCGCTTTTTGGCCGCTCTATGGACGCGTGAAGTGCATTTGTGGCTCCACGAGTTCTCTTTTGAAGCGCGGGAGGAAAGGATGCGCACCTGGCAACCACTAAGACGGCGTCGTCACCAACGACTCCAGTGACACACTTTTATAACTTACCACAAATATTGATTTTTCTCTATTAGTTGCTATGAAATTAACTTATAACAATTTATGATTAATTGAGAAATATTTGCCTGAAATTTTGCAATGAAATGAATTTTTATGAGGACTATAATTTAGCTAGGTGCCCCAATATTGGTTCATTATACTGTTTCAATATTGGTTCATTCGAGTGATAGCATCTACTTATATTTTATTCATTGCAGCATCAATTACAGGAACCTGCTTCATATTTGTGTATTTGTCACCTTGTTTTGACAAAAATTTAACTGGTGAATGATGCACGTGGCGCCAATTTTCAACTATTCTAAATTGAGTATATATTCTAATTTCCGAGTAGTCTGCACTTCCCAAAATTCTGATTACTTGATTCATACTCTCTAAAAATCATACTCTCTAAAAAAGTACAATGACTGCATTGCAGCAGACTTGTTGCAAGTTCAAAACTTCATTA